ACCAAGAAAGTACTCAAAACAATCGAACCTTGGTCACATTTTTAGAAGTGAGTCAGATAAAGAAATTTTCAGCACCATTTAGCTACATATATATATATATATATATATATATGTGTGTGTGTGTGTGTGTGTGTGTGTGTGTGTGTGTGTGTGTGTGTGTGTGTGTGTGTGTGTGAAAATATATAGAAAATAGAAAAGAACTCGTTAGGTAAATAATCCAAAGTTCTTTAGTATTTTTGTTATTATTTTTAAAAAATAGTGCTCGAAACAAAAGTAGAGCATAAATATAATTATTTATTTAAAAATACGATTCAACACGCTACATAAGAGTCCTCTTATGTAGCGTGTTGGAATCATATTTTAAATAAATAATTATATATATATATATATATATATATATATATATATATATATATATATTAACATGTAAATGCAACGTCAATCGTCATTATGTGTTTCCTTGAATCTCGACCTTTTATTGTCCTCTCTTACCTCAATAACGTTTTCTCATCAGTTTCTTTCAGTCTCAATAACTCTCTTGCATTTATATATATATATATATATATATATATATATATATATATATATATTAAATGGCGAGACAGTGTTATAGTAGTAAAACCAATTTATGTCTTTTGAATTGTTATTAGAAAAGTGCATTTTTGATTGCATGTTAAACATTTTAAAATTTCTCTTAGTAGTAATTCAAAATGTACATTGGTGTCACTATTACAATATTATCACACCATTTAACATATTTTCGAAATGAAAAATTGTTCTTCTCTGATAATAATTATTGATATTTTATATGCATATGCAATCGCCCATAAATAAATTGCAACAGGACCAATTTTTATGGGAAGTTCATTTTCTTCTAAACCGAACGTAGCAGTATTTTGTTTCTTGTGAAATATTTTACAATTAAAACAAATATTTGGAGAAGGATTTTAGAATAATCAGGGATTTATAATGGGAGCAAACCATCCGCATGCTGATAGAAAGATAATTAAGTAGATACACAAAAGTAGAAAGAGGATTTATTTCATCGGATTTATGCAGCCGCTCTAGCAAGACTATCCTAAAGGAGTCGGAGACCCTGCAAGTATTTATCATAGGTTGGAACATTCTAAACAGTGTAAGATATGGAGATGACGCTGTGTTGACGACAGACACAGAAGGAAATCTACAGGATCTCCTAGACAAGATAGTAAAGGAAAGCGAGACTATCAATTGTAAAAAGACTAAGTGTATGGTTGTCACCAAGAGAAAAATCCAAGATACAAATTCGAAATGTCAACCTCAAAAAAGTACAGAAGTTTAAATATCTTAGAAACTGCATTGAAATAGCAAAAGATTCCTTCCAAAACCTAAGAAACATCTGAAGAAGCAAGAAGATTTAGTTAGAAAGAAAGAAAAAAGTGCCGAACTGTTATGTAATATCAATCCTTCTATATTGAATGAATGCCCCACAATTCCCTTACATATGAAGAGAAGTTTCAAGGCAACAGAAACATGGTTCTACAGAAGAATACCATTTTTCAAGAATTTCTAGATATATAGACGAAGAACCAGACAAGAAGTGGCATCAATATTCGATGCACGGAGGAGTGGTAGACTTATAAATGTTTTAGTCTCCTGGAGGTTAGCTTCAGTTGTGTGTGTGTGTGTCTGTGTGTGTGTCTGTGTGTGTGTGTCTGTGTGTGTGTCTGTGTGTGTGTGTCTGTGTAAACTTCACTGAACTCCGTTAGCGATTGGCCTCATCCTATATATATATATATATATATATATATATATATTACCAATTATAAACACACATCAAAAACATTATATTACATCACCAACCTTTACTAAATTCATTCTTAAAGAATTTATCACGACCGGTGTTGACGTAAAAACGTCCCCAAATCAACATGCAAATCTCCGTACATAATGCCTTCTACACGCAAATACCCACGCACATACACACACACGTACACCCGCACACATGTCCATATATACATTATCATCCGAATCAATAGAATTATGAGACATTTACGCATATAAATTATACGCACGAATGCGTCTTGACTAGTCAAATGTACGTGAAGTCTGCTTAAACAATGAAAATCGAAACACAAAAAAATACTAAAAGATTTTTCCATGTCACATTCTCTGATGAAGCTTTAATAAAACCGAAACATGTTAGATTTAAGAACGTTTCCTAGTTGTCCTTTATTTTATTATTATGTCGGATTCCAATCCATATATATATATATATATATATATATATATATATATAATCGAATGGTTAAATATAAATAAAAATAGATGTATTTTCAACATTTGAAAATTGCTTCGGCATGGAACTCAGAGTTATGCAATAAATGTAAAAAAATGTATATTTCTTATATATATATATGCGTGTGTGTGTGTTAGAGTTCTAAATGGTTATACTTACATATATTAGAATGCATGCATACATTTTGGTTAAATCTTTCAAGACTAAGGGACGCAATATTTTTTTTTTTTTTAATGGAGTTTGTCTTAATGTCTCGATACACACATTTTTCAAAAATATTCTTGTGTTGAACATTCCATTTATCTAACAGGATTAACGCAACATATTATATTTACTTTTATAGACTCGGTGAAAAAATCCGTTGAAATATGCATGCCAGGATTTGTCGTAGATGATCATCATCACCAACAGATTAATGAACAAATATGAACCATATTCCATTTTCGGGAGATTATCCATATGGTTTATCTTTTTTTAAGCTCAAATGTGCACAGATAACTGAACACATAATTAATTGATAAAAAGAAACTTAGATATATAAAATTAGGGCTAAAAGGATTACGCAACACTACTTTGTCTTAAAACTGCTTAAACCTGCCAAAGATAAAGATATATAAAATAGGTATACTCGTAACAAAATGAATATACTCATTAGCAAACAAAATATATAGTTTAATCAGTTACAATTTCTACATTTAAAATATTTTCCATCACCAGAATTTGTATTTCCAGAATCTATCTTACGCATTTATAAGCCTACCATTCGCCTATGCATTGAATATTGCTGTCACATCTGATCTGGTGCTTCTGCTATGTATTTAGTGATTCTTTATAAAACCCAAAGAAGAATCTGCAACGTTATCGGTTTTGACCTGGCATCTTTGATTTTTCTATTACATAGAACAAGGAATGTATTTTACGGTTTTTGGTGATGTTGTATGTCTTGTTTTGTTGCCATTTGAAAACTTTTAATGGAAGCAGTCGAAATTATGAATCGTGTTCCTAGTCCTTATTATCAATAGTAGTCTTGGGTATGACGATAAACTAGATCCGGTAGCAAGGTCTCTGATTGGGAGATTGAAGGTTTGGGGGAGCGTGGAACTACCTTATAATTGCTGTTGTTCCCAGGTCCATTCTGATCCGGGGTGGTAACACCTGTTAGGGTCCCAGCTATGGGCAAATAGTAAACTCTAAAACAAAATGAAAACATAATGACAGTATAAATTTTTTTTTTTTTAAATTACCAACAATACCTATTTATAATATATATTTAGTTGAAGCCATAATAAAACTGCGTTCAAAAGATTTAGATTTTGGCATTAAATAACCCATATAGGTTGATATGCCGCTAAACAAAATCAAACAATCAAATTATTATCAGTAGAGAAACATACTACTAAAGGACAAGGGAAAAAACAGCATATATTGATGTTTTTCTCTTGTTCTTTAGGAAAATGTTTCATATATTGATTATGCTAGAAAATTTCTCTCGAAAAGAGTAACCTGTCACTTCTCAAAGTCACATAATTAAACTTATAAAATAAATCCTCATCACCAGATTTTGGTCGAAAATATGAGAACGAAACAACAACAAAAAAACGATTACAAATCTTGGAAGCTGTTCACATTAAAAATAAACATTATCAATCAAAATTTACTTCAATTTGAACGGACATCTTTTAAAATGTCTTAACTGCAATGTCATTTTTGATAGTTGACAATAAAATCTATTTCACAGTCATAGCTCATGAATCCAGGTTTTTTTTTATCACATGACCATTCAGAGCGTAGGTTGTCATGGCACTCCACGGAAGATAACAGACTGGTTTCCAACTACTTTCTCAACAGTTCTGAATTCAAGGTTGACTTTCTTCTAGACTGTCTGCCGTCCAAGTCTGTACTGCTGTTTAACCCATAGGTGGGGAGAGGAGATGAAAATTCATAGCTTTTTCCATGGCCATTTATTCGAAACGGAAGGCAACAGAGTAGGCGGAAATTTGAATTCGTGTCATCGATTCCATTTTACTTTCCGCGTCGATAACCACAACGCTACCAGCACAAACGTTATACTCACCAATTATAGACTTTCTGTCTTCTTTCATTAAAACCGAAAGTAGCTGGAGCATGATACACACTTTCGGAAAAATCCTTCACTCACAAGTTTCCATCTGATGTCAAATACGCTTAACAAACATACCCTGTTCATTTTATTTAATAGAACACACTGGCATAAACACACATTCAAGCACATACACACATATCTGTGTGTGTGTGTATATATATATTTATGGGTGTGTGTGTTCACGCACACACACACACACATATATATATATATATATGGGGGGTGCGCGCAATTTAAAATGTATTTGAATTATCAGAACGTATAGATAGATAGGTACGGAGTGGCTACAGGAATCAACACTGCATGGTAACAGTCAGTTTCACGTCATGAACAATTTTCAGAACAATCTACAAGCGATTAATTAGCACTTCTCCCCAATAAATATAGCAAATTCTAGACAATATATATATATATATATATATATATATATATATATATATATATATATATATATATATATATATATATATATATATATATATATATATATATATATATATATATATATATATATATATATATATATATATATATAGAGCAACAAAAAATCACTTACAGACCTATGGTATATTTGGCGAGGCTTTTTTTTTTTAACTAAGGCGTACGATCACCGAAGTTAAGCAACGTTGAGCCTGGTCAGTACTTAGATGGGTGACCATTTTGGAATACCAGCTGCTGTAAGTTTGAAAGTGCTGGTGGGGTAATAGATAATCGCTCGAAATTGTTAATCAGTTAGGTCCATTATATTCACTTACGCACAAATACCCTTGGAAAAGCTCTTCTCCCACAGCTATGGGTTAATTAGTAAGACTTGTATCACTAAATCATTATTATTTCAAAAAAATTCTTCCAATCTAAAAATATTTTTTAGTTTTAAATAACCTGCCTAGGGTTGATAAGCCGTAGAAAATTAATCAATTAACCAACTTTTTTATTAAATTTCACCCCGTTTTGGAAAGGCTGAAAAGAGAGTTAATTCTGTAGCTTCCAGATATGACATATGGCAGCAATATTCCGTTTTTGGTCTAATCTAACTCTTGTAAAGTTAAAACATGGCAGAAGGAGCCAGATACATCATGGAGCGATAGAATGAAACGACAATTCTTTCCAGCAACTTCAGCATTTGGTTGTATATACGTATGAGTTCCATGGAAAATGTTGAGTAACTTGAAACATGAAAAGATTTAACAATATTTATATAGTATCCCTTCTGTGCATGTGTGTGTGTATGTGCAAGCGTGCTTCTAAGCATATATACCTATACAGAATCACATGCTATTAACTGAATTTCGGTTTGAATTTTTCATTGTATAATGTTTGTCATTAATGTCCTCCACTGAATTAAGTTCATTAAGTACATTAGTTACTTGTTCATAATGTGTAAACAAAAAAAAGGTGCATGGATACAGGCAGTGGTACTTAAACGATATTTAAGATAGAGATCATAGGAGTAGATAGGTTCGCCTATCGTCCCATTCAACCCCACCCCACCTCCGGTTTTTGAACAGGAGTAGAAGTTTATTCATTGATCCTGTTTAAGATTGGGTTTCCGGTTACTTCCAAAGTCTACTTCCGCACAATACTTCTAACGTCTCCAACTCTGAAATGTTATTCACTAATTAAATCTTGACCTTTTCAAGTATAGAGTCAGTCGTTATATTTCCTACATAGCCGCAAGAAGTTCACTTCTTGCCCTTTCTTGCGTCCATACAACACCACCCAGTAACACTCTACCTTGAGTGATTCTTGTGCCTTATATTGGGTGAACATTAAAAAATAAAGAACTATATTTTCATGTTGTTTACGCCAAATTCTGGCGCTAGTATCCAAGTGTTGCTTCAGAAAGCGAGACTTAACTGAACCGACAAGGTTTTCCAATCCTCTATTGTGTAACTTATGTGATCCTAAGCAAATGTCTTATTAGACAGAAATGGCACCCGGCTTGATCTTCTAATGCTGTATCCATTTGACTTCTGTATATATCATTATTATTTTAGCTACAGTTGCCTTTGTATCAGCTTGAAGCATTATGGCCATTCTCACCTAGCCGTTTTCATCGACAAGGGATTTTCGCCAACAGAACTGAGGCTCACTGGAATTTGTTTTCTTTTACTAACCATTCTTTCTAATTTTTAAGTATGATTGTACGGTAAAAACCTCGCAGATCACCAAATTTGGAATGCTCAGAAACAATGATACAATGATACATCTGGCACCAACGATCATGCCGCGTTCAAAGTCACTTATTCACATTTCTTTCCCATAATAATGCATAAAATGAAATTCAGCAGGCCGCCATGACCATTTTTAATACCTCTATTTACATACCATTTATTCATGTGTAAGTGGTTGTATATATATATATATATATATATATATATATATATATATATATATATATATATCCCCAACTGATAAAGAAATTTTCAAAAACTTATTTTCCGGCCGAATTTAAATTTCGCAGGTCAGGGTCAGATCTGCGAAGTCAATCGAAAGATATCTCTTTTAAACTTTTCTTCCTCTATTGCCCATTGAACTTTGTTTTTTTAACAAAAATCTGCTCGTTAAATTATAAGAATTTATTCGTTTTCTTAGTTGTTTTCAGTTTGTGTTATTATTACCCTTTACTTCACACAGATCTTACATTATTGGTTCTCTCGATCAAGTCACGTTGACCTCAGACAGAGAGTACTTTCCGCAGAATATCGGCAGTTCACAACAGTACCGATTTCTAGAGGGTTGGAATATGAACTTGATTCCAAGCATTTCTAGGTTAATGGTTAAAATCCTGAAAATGGAGCCTAACGAACCACTGGTGATATGGACTATGGTCGTGTTTATATCCCACAAACGTGCCATATCAGTGAGAAGATCTGTATATATGTTGAGTATCTCAACCAATTTCTTATCTAGATTTAGTAATATCACCTTCGTATGTCCAAGCTTACGTTCGGCTTGGATTTGGAAGTCTCACGAGAGTTTTGCTCCTTCATTCTCCATAACCTTCTACGGTTTGGCTTGTGGCGATACAAATTCTAGATCAGGTTGTAGTGCCTTATTAAACAGCACCAGCGGAAGCCCTTAATAAACATAGTACAACGGCAGCCCGGAGGGTATAAAAAGCAAGTGAAACCTTAAGTAACTCTCTTTTTCCTGTTTTCCTCCTTTCGAAGTATGTGCCATCAACTTTTCATACTGAAGCAAAAAGGGCCGTGAACGCTTCACACACAAACATACTTACACAGGAAAGTCACTCTCAAATACATTCATTAACAATATTCGTTGTGTATGCGATTTACTTCTCGGAAAAGAAACTATTAAACTTTCCTTTTGTTAATTTGTTTAATAAATGTTATCTTGAATTGCAAATCAATCAGTCTTTGTGATTTTGTGCATGTACCTTTTCACCACTATTATTTCATGTAAGGTCCTGATCTGACATCTCGTCTACAGTCGATTTCTCATAGACGTGCCGTGGCTTCCTTCTGTCTCTTCTACAAGTATTTTCACGGCAACTGTTTCGACGAGCTACTTTCGCTGGTTCCCAGACCGCATGAATTTAAGCGAGCTACTAGGCTGGCATCTCGGTCTCACCCTTTCATTGTCAAAATGGTTAAATGTAACCGTCTCTTCTACTCAAACAGCTTCTTCTCTCGCACTTCCCGTCTGTGGAATTCCCGTCCTCTTGACTGCTTCCCTGATAACTATAATCTTCAAATATTCAAGTGTAATGTCAATCGACATCTTCTGATACCTTGATCTTGTTCCCCCGTCCTTCGCTGTATCCTTTCCTCCAACACGACTCTTTACTCTTGTTCCCATAGAACTAACACACTAAAACTTCAAAGCCGTATTTCCTGTTAAGACACCAATGCAGCTTTATACTTATCCTGACGCCACTTATATTTTTATGTCATATTATTATTATTGTTGTTGTTGTTGTTTCAAATTTGGTATATCTATACAGGAAGAAAGTTCCGTTTAAGAGATAGAGGGTTTATAGATATAAACAGTGGATATAGTAATCAACACTGCATGGTAAATGTCAGTTTCACGTCCATATATATATATATATATATATATATATATATATATATATATATATATATATTATGAAATGGACAAAGTCCGACAATTATTTTAAGACATTTTATGTTTATACATTCTTTTATAGATACAAATATTTAAGTAAATGCTCTGTTTATAATAAACAGTAGTAAGCAACATTTACCGGCCTGAATGTCCGAGAAATTTTCATAGAAAATATTCGTCCGAGGAGGGGTATAAAAAGCAAGTGAAACCTTAAGTAATTCTCTTCTTCCTGTTTTCCTCCTTTTTTCATAGAAAATATTCGTCCATGAAAATTTCTCGAATATTCAGGCCGGTAAATCTTGTTTAATACTGTTTATTATAAACAGAGCATTTACTTAAATATTTGTATCTATAAAAAAAATGTATAAACATAAAATGTCTTTATATATATATATATATATATATATATATATATATATATATATATATATAATTATTTATTTAAAATATGATTCCAACTCAGACATAAGAGGTCTCATGTTTCAAAACAAGAGCCGAAAAACTTCAATATAATTATTTGAATTAAATTGAGTTAAAGAAAGCTCTGTTCCATCTTCAAGCGAAATATTTTAAAAAATAATAACTAAAATACTAAGGAACTTTGGATCTACCTAACCAGTTCTTTCCTATTTTCTATATATTTTCACAAATATATATATATATATATATATATATATATATATATATATATTAGTGAATATACATAATATCCAACGTCAATAACACAAGGGGAAGTTTCATGCAGTATATGCAATCTTCAGGTGTGGAGATTCTGACCGTTATCTATCGCGTTCTCGTGAGGATGACTTAAAATTGTACGTACAAACTTGTCTATTTAAAATATTGTATTAATTATTCATAATTTATATCGTTCAATTTCATAAGCTCGAAAGTCGAAAAATTAAAAAATAATAAATAAAAAATAATATTTTAATTTAAATTTGGATTCGAAAGTAAACAATATATCAATGGGGGTAACTCTCGTTTCTTTTAGCATAAAATACACAAGTTATGCCTATTAACGTAAACTAGAACGCAGATTAGAGATATAAAATAAAAGTGCAAACATAAATAATAGGTCGGGACTATATATCGAATGTACTTATAACGAGGAAATTATATATATACACACGTTATAAATTAATCGAGTACAATAATATTACACTGTATGTGCGTAAACTTATATAAGGAAAGTTATTGATAATGAGTTCTGAGAATATTAAAAGTTGTATATTATATTAATATTCGTAAAATCCATTTGGCAATCACTTTTAATCAGGGTCAGTTTTTTGGGGCAGTACTTTGATTTATGGATAAACGTATAAATTAATTCGGACCTCGGGTTCAGCAATTTAGGATTATTTAAGTGTTTTAATATAATAAGCTTCTCCAACGAACACAGGTTACATCTGTTTCCTTTTCCGTTATATGGCTTAGATTTCGCGATTATCTTCCAGTCAATGGTTAGGTTCTTATGTTTGCTTTTTAATCGCCAGACATACTTTGAAAACGTCGTGCAGTTTTTGTATTTGATATTTTTCTTGGTGTCATTTTGTGGTTGTAAAAACGTTAAATAGAAAAATAAGATC